CCGCCAGTGCACAGGCCTTGTTAAGTTAACTCAATTCATAAATAACTGTAGTAAATGTGCTTGCTGTACATGGTGCAGAAAATGAGAAGGGCCTCCCATACACAAATCCATGCAAGTGGGGATTGATATACAGTCACGTCAAAGAGAGAGGGTGCCACAGGTCTGTCCAGCTCAGAAAGTCAAACAGAGATGTCAAAATAGGGAGCATGTACTTCATGTCACATCAGGTCTGTGGCTGAAAGCGGGACATGATATGCTCAGGAAGCTAAAAAAGCTGACCTCTGCAACACACTGGCATTTCTGTGAGGAAACCCTCCCATACTGTAGGCTGAGCTGTTCCAGTGTGTCTGCATAATCACAATAATTGGGTAAATGAATGAGAAAAACACCACAGTGTGAAGTAATTACTGTCTCGAGCAGCTAGACGCTCTACTTAAAATAATGAATTGTTACAATAAATAAGTCTAGAATCACTTTTAGTGGTATAGGTGCTCTAATACAGATTACCATGGGAATTATATTGGTGTCCTTGCCAGGTTTCTGTGGTGTATTTGTAATACTAGATGTTTTCCCATGCAATTGCATGCTCTTAGTAATTAGCAGAATAAACAGAGTAGAAATTTATATTTAGGAGATACCAAATATTAGTCTGGTAACATCTCCTCTAATATCCACCAACAAGGCCTTTTGAAATATGTCCATTATGTGTTTAGAGGAGCCATGTGAAATTAGGCTTGCAGTCAAAGCACATACTGTACATGACTGGCCTGCGGTTCTTAGCACCCAGCTGGTGGTGTGAAGAAAGAAAGAAGAATAAAGAAAGAAAATCGCCTTTTCCCAACACTCTTTTTTTTTTGCCTCAGTACAGTTATGTGCTTTTTGCCCAGACAAACATATTAGCATATTCATGAGCCACTGACACAGGCTTTACTGATGTACACTCTCCTGTGGGAGGAGGACACTGGGTGGGAAAAAAGAGGGAAAAAGAGCGAGAAAAACTCCAATCTTTTGAGCCATCATTAAAGAAAATAAACTAGGCTCATGGGGGAGTAGAAAAGAAGAGATAAGTTCATGACTGAGGTCTGGGAAAGAAGGATGGAGGGACTTGAGGAGAGGGAGATAAACAACGGTTTGTATATGACTATGTGTGTGTGCTCATGCAGTTGTGCTCATGCCAACTGAGAATGATCAAACAGCCCTCTCGCTACCGCAGTGCCCCATTGATGAATAGGAAGAGAGGGGGGAGGAAAGGGAACTGGCAAGAGCAGTAAGGGGAGTAAACCAAGATCCCAGCTCTCGTTTTTTTTCCCCCGTTAATTGGCCACAGGGGAGCGGTCTACCTGCATTACAATGAGAAGGTCGAAGACCAAAATGAAGGAGGCCAGGAACGCTCTGGAGACCTCATCACTAGGCAGGAAGCCTCGGTTCAGGTTGTCCCAGCTGATCCAGTCAGTACTGATGACCAGAACCACCACCGATGTCAGAGAGATGAGTACTGTCCTGCAGGAGAGAGCAGAGGAGAGGAGGGGAGACAAGAGGAGATCAGAGAAAGGGCAGGAAAGTGATAGAGAAGAGATGAAATGGAAGGGAGGAGAAGTAGGAGGAAGAGTAGGGAAGAGCAGAGGGAAAGGGCATGAAAAGGAAAAAACAGCACGAGAGGAAGGAAAGAAATCAAGCACAGGAGAGGACAGGACAGTAACGAAAAAGCAAGTCAGGAAGGTGGGAAAGGAAGAAGACGAGTAGAGAGGATGGAGGAAAAGGAAGGAAGGAGATGTCAGGAGGGGACACAAGTGGAAGGAAAATGGAGGGTGAGGAAAAAAGAAAAAGGAAGCAGAGAGCATAGAAAAGAAAGAGGAGGAAATAAGGAAGGAAGGAAAAAGAAATGGCAGGAGGAGAGGGGGGACGAGGACAGGAAAGGGCAAGGAAAGAAAAAGAAGAACAGGATAAGAAGAAAATGTAAACAGGACAGATGAATGAGGGAAAAGGGAGGAGGAGAAGAGGGAAGGAAAGAAGAAAACTAAGCAGTCTAAAATCTAAAAGTGACGCATAAAAAAGTACCAGACCTTGAAACAAAAATTTTAAAATTTCAGTCAAAATAACATTGTGTATCTTGGAAGACAAAGAGCTCACCCATGTCAAAAACAAGAGAAGATCAATTAAGCACAACTCAGTTTCTCTGCTGATAGACTCGGTAATATATTGAACAACAATGTATCTTGGATTGGAAAAATGGGAGCAAACGAAGCTTCCAAAAAGATGAAAACTGCATCCATTTGCTTGTGCCACTGCCTACATATTTTCATGTACAGTATGTACACGGAAATAAGTTGTTTATGTGACACGGTTGTAATTCTGCATCCAGTGCTTACTGGAAAATGTCTCAAGCATCTGAAGAGAGGCAAAATGACAAGGCTGGTGTTTTGTCTGAAAGTCACCCAGTGATTACTGCGCTGTTGTGTGTGCTCTCATAACACACGTCGCCTGGCTGCACTGCAGATAGCGAATGCCAGTTATGGACATACATTTTGAGGGTTTTAATTATTCTACAATGTGATTCTTTCCCTCAGCAACAGCCAGATTTTGGCAGTACAATGTGACGAGCCTTCAGCACATATTGACAAGATATATTCAGCAACACATTATCAATCATAGTTAAGTCTGAATTTCACATGATAGCTCGTCCAAATCCAGCATTGACTGTGGCAGTGCGAGTCAGGGCATCCATCAATAAAATGAAAGGCTGCAGAAAAGTCACAGAACAATTCATCTGCTTGCATTCTAATCGCAGGTGAATCAGTTTTGTGAATGATAGTGTTTAACACCACAGCCAAACTGTCTTTGAAGTTTGAGATGTCTGGAGCTCTCTGTGCGCATATCAAACAGATGTCAAGCCATTTCGTTTAATCATATCCGCTTCTTCACATGGACTTTACTTCTCACTATGACCCTAAAATGAGCCACTGGAGATGGCGTTACATTCGTCATATCTGACAGATCGCACTGAGCCACTTTGCTGAATGAATACCACTGAGGAAATTGTGGTAAAATGCATCTAAACAGGGAACACTTGGTTTTTTATTAATGGGCACATCAAACATGGTTTGTAGCATTTGTTTAGCAGTTATTTAAGGGTCACAGCTTGTGGTACATGAAGTAAAAAGCAGGGCTATGGTTCGCCTCGCGACCTTGCTGTGTCCATTGATTTTCAACCTTTTCTTCTAATTAAAGGTGCTGACACCGAGTGAGGGAAGAATAACGTGGTTATTGACTGCATGTAACCCTGCAACAAGCTGGAGAGACACATAAGCATGCACAAGTACACAATCTCCCAAGCCTCGTAAGAATATTGCATTCAGTACGCTAGCAGTGAGAGAAAAGTGCCCTGAAATCATATTATGTGTGTCTCAGACATTTTATCTCAGTTTAATAAGACAACATACCAGAAGAGAACAATCCTGTTGTTGCCTTGTTTCCAGAACCTTCTGGCAGCTTTGCCCCAATCTGGGTAGTGCTGGTCCTGGAGCATCATATCTGTCACCTGCAGAAAGGAACGTGCATAAAATTACTGAATTAGTTTATTAAGATAGGATGTAGAGGAGGTTCAACCTGTCTCAGCTTACCATAAATAATGGGGAAAGAGGGAGAGACAACTACCCTGTTCCTGTTTATATGTAACAACAATGTCTACCAGTACCCGTGAGGCTCACTAATTAATACAGTATATCTTGTTTGCTTATTCTGTACAAAATTAAAATGTGAAAAATGACAATTTGTGGTTTTACATGGGTTTTAATGATTCCATTTCTTGCTCTGAGTAACCTGGAAATCACTTCTCACACTTTTGTACAAATTAAAAGAAAGACAATGTGTTAATTAGTGAGTTTTAGAAGTGCTGGTAATAGTCACTGGACAGTGCCAGACTAGCTGCTTCCCCCTGCTTTTAATCTGTACTAAGTTAACAGTGTCCTAGATGTGGCCTCATATTTGATGGACACACACGAGGGATGTAAATCTTAAAAC